TGCTCGTAGAAGCTTTAATGAACTTTAGGAAATACAACGCAAAAATACAGAATACAAAAAAAACTACAGCTCATTACTTTTTTACAATTATTCATGTCTTCTTGTTTGTTGTCATGACAAACCTACAGGGTCGCCCTTTTCTAATATCTAACAATAAACTCAAACAAATTGGTTGTTACCTAGTGTTTTTGGCCACTGCACGAATTTTTGGATGCAGTACAGCTGTTTGTGAAAAATGTAAAAATTGAGAAAAAATAAAGTAGTTTTATTAAAATATGTATATATATATTTACATGAAGCCCCCTCTGTCGACAAACTTGCCCTCCCTGAATAAGTTTTCTAGCTACGGGGCTGTGATAAGAAATACCAAATGTGATAAAACTCTTCTGTGATTTGTATACGTAAAGAATTGACTTGATCTATCTTGGTAACTGGACTTACCTAGAAGTAATTTTCCCAAATCATAAAAAAAGTTTAAAAAAGTAGCTTAGATAGAATTCAATCTAATAAAAGACAGACTGCGACAGTAGTGATCAACAGCTACTCAGACTGTTTTTCGGTATTGTTTACATCACAAATCATTTACTGTTGCTTATAAAACTTTTTAAATGCTGGATATGCACCTACTCATTGAAGTACACTAAAAATTTTATTCTACAAAGGTTAAGTGCGTTTTTGATTGTCAACTTAGCGTCTATTATAGCTGTTACCCTAGCCCAAAAATATGACAACAGACAACAGACCATTACATTACAATTCTAGGTTATCGAACGAGAAATTGCGTAGCCAGCAACGAAATAAAATAATTTATATTTATTTGAGAATTATCCTTTAATTTAAAGCATGACATTTAAAGATGAACCAAATTACATCCAGTAAAAATTTCAACTCTGAATCTTTACTCAAATGTAAGTTAACATGGGGTATAAAATTTAACAAGGGAATCCCTGTGGCCATTTTTAAAAAAGATGCACTGCATTCGGGGCATGGCTATTTTCATGTTTTCTAGACGCTTCATGACCCCTAGGATACGAATAAATAGGTCCTCCGTTTCCGTTTGCCTGTCGTCGGTGTCTATTTTTATTAGACAGTTATTGTAATCATGATATATCGCTAATCAAAATTTATCCGTTTATCCTCTCTCAAAATTTTGCCGAACAAACTCTGTCCAAATTGCACCAAATATTATGACTCTATAGTTGTGATTTATTACACAAACTCACAGTAATTGGAATTACTTAAGTATACATGGCGATAAAGAAACTAATGAATGAGGTAAACTGTCCAATCAAACCAAAAATGGCTCACCCCATTTTTCCTAAAATTTGAAGATACAACATTATCAGTATTACACTGCACCTATTCAAATTGATATAAGTGTGCTTGCCAAAATGTCGATGACGTCGTCACAAAATTTTTCCATGGAAGAATGTACGGATAGTACGCTTCTTATACTGTACTGTAACAGTCCACACATATCTTTATTTTAACTTACCATAAAGAAATCAAACACGCAAAATAATTTTTCTTTTAATTTTTTTTTTGTTCGACTTTACGTCAAGTGCGAGGAAACTTCTGTCTAAATAACTTTCGACAATTTTTTACTTCCCAGGCGTAAGCGAAGGAAGTATTGTAATCGAGTCCATCGGCCGACTTACTACTTCATAGTGATCCCTAGAGTACGAAAAAGTGTTCTCCTGTTTCTGTCTGTCTGTCGTCTGTCCATCTGTGTCAATTTTTATTAGACAGATAATAATTTCCGAAACTACTGGACTGGAATTTTGATGGCTTCCCCACCAAAACTTAATGACGTGCTCTTAAATGGTTTTTGAATAACCGTTAGATTTTATAAAATAATACTTTTATATTTGTGGTTTATGAATCGGCATTGACTTCTTACCCTGCATAACAACCTTTTATAACCGACAGTAAACAGGACAGTTACGTAGCATATCTAGTGCCCGTGACGGGATGAAAAGCGGCTCATGATCCTTCGTTCTTCGTATGTACAATGTTCTGCCATTATCTATATTTTTTATGTATAGAGGTTATCACAAATAAAATTTCACAAAACCGAGTTGTATAACTTTTCGAAGAGTGATTTTTTGAACTGCCCTTTGGGGGAGAGGGAAGTTCTGTCGAATTAACCTTCGACCAATTTTTTTTATGTTAATACATTTGTTTTTGCAACTCGACGAGCATTATATTAAAGTTGCGGTTGGGTTCTAATTCTCGGAAAATTGTTTGTATTGTATTGAAGTTGGTGATGGAACATCTCTTTGGACATTCCTTGGATTTTGGTTGAAATTGAGGAACTGTTTTTTTCTTCATTAACCCGCAACTTAAAACTCTTTTTGAGTATTATAATTGTTATAATTTTGACCTGTCTGTGACACCGTAGGTCCCAAACGGATGAGCCAAGTTAAATGCGGTTTTTTTAATGGTTGCTGGTTTCATTTGGATGATTCTTAGCCATATTTGATGCTAACCACAGTAGCCATTTTTCAGTTTAAAGCTTTGGTCTGAATGTCTATTCGCCTGTGGCACCATAGCTCTGAACTAGAGGAACCAATTTCGATGAGGTTTTTTTGTTTGAATACTGGTTTAGTCGGGAAGTTTCTTACAAGGTTAGTAGTAGATGAATAACTTGGTTCGCAGTCTTGGAGGGTAAAAAAAGAAAAGCAATTACTGAATGTGTAGATTTCAAGTAAACTTCTCATAGATGATCTTTCTACCACGTCAAGTTCTTCCGCTAGTAATTCTTCGTTTAGGAATTAAGTGAATACACGTGTGTCGAGTGATTTTTAAAAATGAAGAAAATTACAACTCGTAATGAGATACAGTTCTTTTTTTTTTGGGGAAAGAAAACTTCGGAAAAAATCAATAAAAAGATCTTTCCTATATATCGTTATTATGAAGTGATTCGTCTTTGAGTTAATGAGTTCAAGCGCAGGAGAACATCCGTTAAAAATGCACCACGTTATGAAGATCCAAAAATTGCCGACGTACCAGAAATCATTGACAGAATTCATGATATGGTTTTGGTCGATAGACAAAGCTAGAACCATTTCAACCGAGAGAGTTCAGTTTATTAACCCCGGACACAAAAATAACGGCACTGATTTTGCACGAGTTATAACCGCTGCAATCCGGCTCGAAGGACCATGAATTGACCCAGTTTGGGTCGAATGCTGATAGATTGAATAAAACACCCAGTAACAATAAAAATACGTTTACTTTCTTCCGGGATACTTGTGGTTCGAGAGTTACAAGAAGAGTGTTAGAGACAGAATGAATTTTGGTGTCGGTATGCCGGGTTTGTGCGGGTGGAGCTTTAAAACCTTCTACCTGCAGGTCTGGGAATAACCCCTTTTTCGTTGTACAATTCCTCGATTGTACAGGTTATATTTCAAATATGTAATTGAGCTTCTGTAAACCGGGTCTTATTAGTCTGTTAATAATGGAAATATTACATTCTGAAAATGTATTGACAACATCATAAGAATAAGAGCCAAACGTAGCGATTATTTTCAATTCAAGTTTTCATACTTACGAAATCATATCCAATCGTTTTTCTTTTGCGTATAATAGTACACTTGAATTACATTCATTCTATCTGAATTCATTTAAAGTTACGGACATTTTTAAACTACATTTCTTTTTAATCACGATGCATATTTAGATTGGAGGTATAGGTCTTAGACTACTGAAGTATCAAATACGACTTGATATGGATGAAAGAAGTATGTTATTCAGTTGTTATCCAGGGTTTCTATAAATGATTATAGGGTCGCAGTAGGTCATGTAAACGTGCCGCCTCTCAGATTTGAACTATACTAAATACCCAAGAACGCATGACAAAGACGACACGCATCTGAATAACTGGTTGCCTAAATGCTTCATATCTTTTTAAAAAATAAAACTAATTCATTACAATAAAAAGAAACAAATTTATTGCGCTTAAACATCACAGTAAATGTTGAAAATGTTCACCATTTTGTTTAAGGCACATGCCCACTTTCTTCTTAATTTGTTCTGTAATCCATTCGTCAATGCCCACTGTTCATGTTGCAACAGGAACTCCTGACTGCTGAAAATTTTGTTAAAGATGTTTGCGGATTCTGAAGGTCTTCCACGAGACTTCTCTTTGTTGGCAAGTCGAACAAATCTGTTGATTACATCTCTAATGTGGGTCTCTAAGGATGTTTTTTGAATTATTAAATCACGATATTTGGCCAGATATTCTTGCTTACTCTTCGTTTACGAAGTCCCATTGCGATAACAAGACATAACAATGAAAGTGTTTTGTTCAACAGAATAAACCACTTTCGATTTTCGCTTCCTAGCACAAAAACAAAATTTTCGTGCGCAACGTTCAAGAGTTTTGAAAACGACTGTTTTGTTGTTTTGAGCTTAGATCAACGAGAATTACTGTAATTCACACTTTAAAAACGTTAAATAATAAAAACGATAACTTTAAATGACAAGTGAGAATTGTCATAATAGGGTATAATTTCAGCGAAGCGGGATTTTTAAAATTCATGGCCAACTACGCTCTTAGAATCATTTATAAAAGCCCCGTAGAAAGAATTTAATTTTTATTTTGCGTTTTGTTATGTGTCTAAGGACTTTTGGATACGTCTATGGCGACCCTGTTAAATGATAACTTATAAAAGCGTGTTTTCAAATAGTTTCCTAGTTTTTAATTATTTATACAAATTTGTCGCTAAATAAAAACGGACACGCTATTATGAACATTAATTGATTAAAGCTTTTGATGTCACGATGTTCAGTTATGAATGTGCGCAGTCTTCCATCATACGTTAAAGCTACAAAAAGTAGCAAGTTTCAGCTCGACTTACCTTGGAAAACAGATAATCTTTTGATCGGTGTATTGTGACACAGTAAATGCGAAATGCCGTATTATGATCTATTTTTAACAGGTGTTTATTTAAAGAGATTTTTTTTTTCAAAGGAAGTAAAATTAAAAAATTTTACAGGCCCCCGGTTCCCCTAACTATGGCTTTGACTTCAGCAAGATATTCACACAATCTTTTACCCTCTGTTCCACCACCGACTTTGCCCAACAGAGAACCAACTCCCACAAAAGAAAACAGTGATAATGACGGTAGGTACAATAGGTGATATGAATATGTAACTTCTGATCGCATTCGAGAACGTTAGATGAGTTTTCAAAATTTTAAAGTGTCGTTTCATGAACGATGCGTTATATTGAAATTATGAAACTCCTAAGATGTCTAATATTCGATTCCTCCAAACGAAAAACGTTATTTTAAATCAGGATCCACACGATATTTTTAAATTCTTAAAAAAAACACAATAAGATTATTTTCAATTCTTTGACCAGGACCTTCACTTAGAAATGATGGTACTTGTGTTAAAACTTAAAAGGTTAATTTTTAACATAAGTACTGTTACGAAATAAACCAATACGCCGCCCCGGTACGACGTCGAGAACATTATGGCCTGCACACCGATGATGACTCATCGTCAGTGACAGCGACCGAGCAGCGGATCGCTGCAGAAAAGCCTGGAAGCGTAAGTCGCGAACGGCAATCCACACAACAAAGACCTCCTCAACGGAATGTGCAGGAAACCTAAAAACAGCCAGCACTTTGGGGGATGTGGTGGCTGATGTGAATAAGGCCCCCAAAGAAGTAAAGATAGGAAGTTTCATCAGAGACAGTAATCCAACTATACCGGAGTAGATTAATGGAACTCCCGCAGCAATCACAATCGATACTGGCGCTGAGGTATCAATCATACGTCAATCATGGGCCAGACAGAAGTAGAAATCCACATTGGTCAGCTGAAGATAAGCTCTCGTGGCTGGCATCGAAGATGACTTCATTCTGGGAATGGATTTGATTAGCCACCATGGATTGATGGTCGATCCAGTGGAGAAAATCCTACGCCTTGGCAATGAAGAGTTTATCCTTAATCAATGCAGTATTGAATCCAAACCTGTAAGATTGATCGCGCGTCAGAATGTGAAAGTCAGAGGGAATGCAGAGACGATTATTCCAATTAGAGCAGAAATCGAACCCGGATTTGCCCTCGGCCTTATTCAACCACCGCACCAAGAAGAATCTCATGATTGCGAGTGCTTTAATCAATACCGAAAAAGACATACCTGTACGCGTCGCAAATGTTTTTCCCAAATCCAGGAACAAATCCAGAACAAGGACTTTGTGACAACACTGACGAAGAAAGGAAAAGCCACTTAGAAATTCCTGCCCTGGAGCTTGGTCATCTAACCGATCATCAACCGAATGTAGCAAGAGAGTTACTGATCCGTCAAGCTCCGCGAAGACTAGCTTTGGCAAAGCAAGAAGAGGCTGTACTAAAAATGCTGGATGACGGCGTTATACAGGAATCAAACAGTCCATGGTCTTCGCCTATAGTGCTAGTTACCAAAAAAGATGGGTCGACGAGATTCTGTGTAGATTATAGAACACTAAAGGATGTAACCAAGAAGGACAGTTACCCGCTTCCACGAATTGATGACACGCTCACAACACTGTCAGGCTTCGCCTGGTTTTCCACCTAAAAAGCGGCTACTGGCAAGTTGGTATTTACCCACAAGATAAGGAAAAGACCGCTTTTTCTGCAGGGAGTTGGCACTTGACCAACCTTGAAGAAGTATTTAGCCGAATGAAGGAGGCAAATTTGAAGTTGAATCCGAAGAAATGTCTCCTCTTCCAAAAAAAAGTAGAATTTCTGGGGCATACTGTTTCGGCAAACAGGAGCAAGGCTACATCGAGTCATCGAGTACTTCGGCAGCGTGTCGAGAACGGATTGCTTAAGCGAGCTTGGGAGAGTCCGGATGGAAAACATACCACCATGCAGTTGGTGGTTCAGGCCATTGAAACCAAGAAAGTACTTCAAGAAATAGAGAACGATGAAGAGATTCTACTGGGTCCGTCAGAACTAAGGAGGGAGCAGTGTTACGAAATGAACCCATACGCCGCCCCGATACGACGCCTATGGGTTCTCTAGAATGTGCGGAGATTTATGAGACGGCCGAGTGGCAGTCGCATAAAGACAAGTCTGGAGCCCGTTACCGGAAATCTCGATTGCAGCGTCCTGGAAAGTTTCGAAGCGGCGTTCGAAAAGCCTGGAAGCGGAAGTCGCGATGGATATTCGAGAAAGACCTCGACAGCAGAAGTATGGCTTTAAATAGAGGCCACCTTCTGGAACAATTATGATTCAGCCACTTGAGTCAAGAGAGTCCAGGGAAGTTGGCCAGGAATTATTTTGTTCATAATCGCTGTAATAAGTAGTTAATCGTGTAAATTCGAGTTACTAAGAAATAAATTGTTAAGTTTTACCCACGCCGATTTTATTCACCCGTTCAACGTAACAGTACGTTATTAATCAATAATCATAGTCCCAGACCTTCATTTTACCTCGACAACAATTTCTCCAGATCCACTTGAATCCGTTGATATTTCTTCACATAGTCTGACTTGCTGAACATTTTTCTTTACAAATATATCAAAATTGTTCGATAGAATGGGTCTGGGGTAAACTGGTAGAATTTTACCAAACGGAATCCATGAACAAAATTACTGTTGAAGAAGCAAATGATCGCTAATTTAAATACTACCAACGTGAAATAAATGAATTAGCAAAATTTGGTATTGACGTTTAGTTTTCTCTATTCTAATTCTATTTTATTTAAGATTTTTATACCAAGCGTTTTTAGTGGTGGATACGCTGTTTCAATAGCAATTTTTCTCCATTACTTCGGTTCAAGAAGTAAAAGGCATACCAGTTTGTCCCGAGATCGATCTATTGAACAATGCTGGATTACTTACTTGTAAAGAAAAATATTCCCAACACAAAATAATATCAAGAAATTACTAGATTCAAACGGTGGACATGCCGGAAATATTATAGAATATGGGTCTGGACAATCAATTAATAACGCACAATAATAAAATGTTCCTTGTTTCAATAAAAACTTAAGCACTAAAATTGTTTTATTATTGTGTTCCCAGTTCAAAACATCATTATCTTTTTATTTTGTTTAATCCGGTTATATCATTAGACGTTCTTTATAAAGCATTTATATTGTTACGATGAGCGGGCGAATAAATTCGGCGTCGGTCGAACTCAACGATTTATTTCTTACTCAAATTTACACGACTATTTCTGTACCTGACAGCTAAAAGTAAGTGAGTCCATTTTTATCGGCATTAAGATAATTGGTAATTTTGAACATTTGAATTTGTTTGCTTTAATGAGAACAAAAAAGTGACAATAAACATTCTTCTTTCAAAAATCTTAAAATTAAAACTAATTAAGCCCTATATATTTTACGTCACAAGTTGTCACATTTGGTTAATTATGTCTACGGGAGACAAAAATTTCTCTAGGGGAGCCTGAGCATCCCCTGGCCTCACCGTAGCTACGGCTCTGTCTAAATGTAAGAAAATAGAAAGTACCAAATCGCCCGATGGACTCCGTTACTATACTTTTTTAGTTTACGCTCGATAAGCAAAACAACTTGAAAGTGTTTATGTTTATACTTCGGAAAAATGTCACGTAGAAATTAATGATTTGAATGACTTTGTCGCTTCAAACCAGAGGATTAAAATTATTAAGTAAGCTACAATCGAGTTGATCGGAAACCCATCACCAAAGCCAAATTTGAAAATCTATTAACTCTGTTGAAATGGGTGCCCGAAGAGTATCGAGACTATTTTCGAAATTTACCCCACTCAGACCAGGCAAATGATTTGTTAGAGGAAAAAATTTAGTGTTTTTTTTTATTTTGCCCTTTTTTTTTAAGTTGTAACTTGTAACAGAAATGTAATTATAAATATGTTTTAATTTTGTATTACGATAATAAAAATAATATTGGACTTACGTTGTTTTGATTTTAAAACGTATCAGCTATGTATATGTTACAGCTAATATCCGAAATACGTTATTATGCATAATAACTAGATATTTTAGGAATTATGCGTAATAACTAAACTTGCCAGTTATTATGCATAACAACCGGAAACATTAGGAATTATGCGTAATAACTGAATTTTTCAGTTATTATGCACAATAACGGAAACGTTTAGATAATATTGATAATAACTAACAGAGGAACAGGAATTATGCATAATATAGTTGGATTCATGTATCTTTTTACACACGTGACCAAAAGCTAACGTCCGAACTAATAACTGTTACTTTGGAGTAATTAGTCAAAAAGATGACAATGTTCATAACGTCAACATGACACAAATGTGTAGGCTCAGGCAGGTCTTTTGGTTTCGGTGCTTTCCGATTGGGTTGTGATTTTATCGGACTGGGAAGGAGTCTTTCTTTTCTAGTTTTAATCTTCGAAACCGTTCGGCGAGTAACGCCTAGAGCATCTGCAACTCGCTAAAAATCTGAGCGAAATTATTAACCATGAACCTTCAAGTGGTTTTTACTTACTTACTTGTTCTGTACCATTTAATGAGATTAAAGGACCACCGTTTTTCTTCTCAAAAGCAAACAATAATGTTGGACACGATATCCTGGGCACGGGAACTCAAACGTTTGCCCTCCATGTTGTAAACCAAACACGAACAATAAATAAGATAACAAAACATAAAAAATAGGACAACGAAACAAGAATCTTAACAACCAACGAACTTTACGAAGAACTGAATAGAAAACTTGAATAGAACAACGAAAAACTGCGATTAACCACTCTGAGTAAAACCAAAAATGACAGTGACGTTTGATGAAAAATCGATGAATTATTAACAGTCACTAGATTGACTACATCAGTGCCTGTCGCACTATGTGGACGCATTTATTACGTATTTTATCTTTTTCTAATTCAAGGAACTTTGTGGAAGAGAATATCTGACGTAGAGCGTAATTTGGCCTAATTTCAGTAGACATACTATTTGTCTGGCTCTTCGTTTTTGTAATCCTTAAAACAAAGATTCTTATGGTAGGTGCTGTCTGAGCTTGTATGATACTTCGGTCACGTGTGTCAAAAGATACATGAATTCAACTATACCTGAAACATTAGTCATTAAGTATAGGTATTGCCTAATAAGCCAGGGTCGATAATTTTTGAGAACAAACAAATTTAGAACAGGATGATACCCATTGGAAAAGGAAGAAAATATAACAAAAATAAAAGGAAAAATAATTTACGGGCGATCTGAGGTTGGGAAGTGGAAGAGGGTGAGCTTTTAAGGGTAGAAAACGGTTTATAACGATTTCCGGCAAAACTACAAGTCCTATCGAAAAAAGTTAAATGGCAAAGTTCTAGGTAATAAAGGGATCTACAAATTTGTATTTAGACTTTTTTTAAATAACCTCAAAATTTATGTGAAAAATGCAAATAACCGAGTTTTTGGTTTTTTATTTTTATCTCCCACAAAAAAGTTTTTTTTCACGAAATTTGGTGAAAACTTATCTATTTATGTCCCAAAATCACTGTAATTTTTTTGATTCAAAATATTTATTTTTCTCCCTTATTTTGATTTAATATCGAAAAACCACCCTAATTTTCAATCGAAAATTCTCACGTCAAAATGTTTGCTTTTTTAAAAAAATCGGTGTGCTTTTTGTTCGTCAAAATCTCTACTTTCTGATGGTGTAAAAAAAAGTATACAATACTCTGGCAAATTTTCACAGGAAATCCAAAAAAACGAAAAACTCGAATTCGATTTTTTTTTTCATGTAAAATTTTTAGCTATTTATTAAAATTTACACTTTAATTACTCTAAAAAAATAAGATTCCATGTTACACTGATAAACTCAAAAATTTAAAATCCATTAAACCAACGCCTTCTCTTGGTGGGAGATTTGTCAATATGAAAGATAATTTAATTGATTCAGTGTTATATTGTCATTTTTACATTTATAAATATATTTGATTAATTGTAATCCATGTTTTTGCGATATCTTCTTTGTTTGCATGTTTTTTATAAAAAATATAGGCCAAATTTGACAAATTTTTGTCGTCTGACTAGCAGACCCAGTGAATATTTTAGTAGTTAAACAAAAAATTAAATCAAAATAAATAAATAAATTATAATTAAATTAAATTATAAATTATACATAAAAATTTATAGGTAAGTTTTCACCAAATTTCGTGAAAAAAAAATTTTTTTGTGGGAGATAAAAATAAAAAACCAAAAACTCGGTTATTTGCATTTTTCGCATAAATTTTGAGGGAAGAAAGTGTAAATACAAAAATTGTAGATCTTTTTATTACCTACAACTTTGCCATTTAACTTTTTGCGATAGCACTTGTAATTTTGCCGGAAATTGTGATAAACCGTTTTCTACCCTTAAAAGCTCACCCCGTAGATTATTTTTCCCTTTATTTTTGTTATATTTTCTTCCTTTTGCAGTGGGTATCATCCTGTTCTAATTTTTTTTTCACTTTTTACCATTTTCAAAGGCTTAGAACATGTCCAGCTGATTTAAAAAAAAACGGGACAAGATGAGCAATTCAGGTTCTTATAGATCGAAAAGCAATGGGAATATGACTTTTATAAAACTGTAATTTGTCCTTTTTTTTAAATCAACTGTACATGTGATATGTAGGGGAAAGCGAGGCAGGGTGGGTAGCTTTTTGGAAAATATTATGCATAATTCCTGTTTCTCTGTTAGTTATTATCAATATTAGGTACCTAAACGTTTCCGTTATTATGCATAATAACTGAAAATTTCAGTTATTACGCATAATTCCTAATGTTTCCGGTTATTATGCATAATAACTGATAAGTTTAGTTATTACGCATAATTCCTAAAATGTCTAGTTATTATGCATAATAACGGATTTCGGATATTAGCTGTAACATATATAAAACTTTTAGTGTATAATAGAATTAAGTCCAGTATAAATTATCTAAAACCATTTATTAAATGTCATAATGCAAATTAAAAAAAGAATGAATAAATAAAAACAAAAACAAAAGAATATTAAAAATTTAAAATCATTTTATCTCACTTTATTTGTAAAAAAAATCTCTTTAATAGTTTGTTTTTGAGAAACTATGATTTTGGACTCACTTAGATACTTTTTGCTCTCAGGTACTTCTATTAGGTACAGCGATTATGTACAAAATAACTCCGCCGTAGCTTGTCTGGACCCAACTAACTGAATAATGATCCGTTCCCGAAGGCGGCCTCTATTTAAACCCATACTTCGGCGATCGAGGTCTTTCTTGAATTGGGTATTCGCGACTTCCGCTTCCAGGCTTTTCGAACGTCGCTACGCCGCGTCACCAACGATGCGTCACCCGTCATTGCCGTCCGGCCTAGAAAGTTCTCGACGATCCATAGGCGTCGTACCGGGGTGGAGTATGGGTTTATTTCGTAACAATATGTAGTTGCCTCTGGAATGTTATCCGTATTATCACTATCACTGTCAAGCGATGACAAATTTGTACTGATCTACTCATATCTATGCCGCCACACATTTTATTGACGACAAATCTATGTTATTCTTTGATTGATATCTTCTCTGTCACAGTATTTAATTTTTCTCGCCTAATAATATTTTTAGCTTTCATTTGTGAATTCAGATTTCCCATAATCAGCCATTGTCTTATTGTTTACGAATATACTAACACTTTGCTTCATATACTTATAATAATAAACAGGGAAATAATAAAGCTATAAGGTCAAAGCAAATTTGCGAAAGTCTCTGCAAAATAATATCTTTAATCTTTTCAGAAACAGCGTCCTTAAAAATAAATACCTACCCTAAAAAGTGTGTTAATCTCTATTAAAAATGTATGTCTAGTACACATACCACGATGATCACATTTCAGGTTTTAATAGCTCTCCTGTTTCCCTCTGTCTGTCCGTCTGTTTGACGTCCCGATTTTTATTAGCCAGATAATCTCCGAAAGTACTGAGGCGATTGTTGTCAAATTTTGTATTTATATTAGGAATATCATGTAGATGGTAAAACGCTGACCAAAATTTGTCTAATCATCTTCACCAATAATGTGATGACGTCACTTCAAAATTATACGTAGTAAATAAGTTTTAAATTGTACAAAATAATATAGTCCTACACATGTAGTTTATGACGCCGTATTCATTTTTCCCGGAAACGTCCAGATTTTTGGAAAAAAAAACAAAATTATAAAACAACATTTGCAATTTAATTTTGGATCCGCAAAACGGAATGCTTTGAAATCTTACAGATGTTTTAAAGCCTATTAAATTTTTAATCAAAATATATTTGCTTATCCCCTCCAAGAAATTGATGACGTCAGCTCAAAATTTTGCCGAATACATCCTTTCTAAAATTTTCAAAATATGATCAGTCTATAGGTACTTGTAATTTATCATTGCATTCATATGTTTTAGATTTGATGATACAGGGTGATTCAAAAAAATTAATTTATATTAAAGGTACTATTTACACAGTTCTGAAATAGAATAGGATTATCCACGGCTTAACTGGAAATATTCGTTTCATTCACGACTTGCGTTTTTGAAATTTCCGGTGTTGCGAAGATATTAGACTATGTACGCCTAAAAATCTTAATTATACATTAAATGTTATTTATACAAACTGCAGAATACAATATATATCTGCCGAGTTTCGTAACAGATTTAAAAACGTAATTTACGTAGCAGGATTAACGTTAGTGACGTAACGTTACTAATTATTCTTTAGGGACATCAGTCCACTAGAAGAGACGGAGGGAGAGAGCGAGATACCACTTTGATTTGAAATCATTTTACTTTCAACACGCCTTCAAAATAGCAAGGGTAGAAATCCATTTAACTACCAGGAAACCCTAAATTAATATATTCAATTTAAATAAATTTAGCTTAGGATTTTAAATGACGTTACGCGTAAAAGAAAATATGAATTCACGAAATCCACCTATATATTTAAACTGCGTTTGTTAAAGAAATCAATAGATAATTAGATATTTTTTTAGATAACGTTACCTAATCACGAGATGTTTTGAAATCGTTATAAAGCTTGTAAACAGTCGCTTGTTACCTACTACCTTTTGTTCTAGAGGAAAGCATAGATGTCACTAACGAGGAAGAAGATACTCCTAGTTCAGGCTGCGGTGTCTCATCTAGCAGTGGTCCGTTACGACCTGAACCTCAACCCGCTACTGGATTAACAACAAGCCTATATTCTTCATCGCACGAAACCATTTATGAAACGTCAGCGAGACTACTATTCATGGCAGTAAAATGGGCCAAAAACTTACCCAGTTTTGCCAGTCTACCATTTAGAGACCAGGTTGGTAATTAATTTATTGTATCTACTACATCCCTGTTGTTCATCATTTATAACTTTAGGTGATACTGTTGGAGGAAGCATGGAGTGAACTATTCCTTCTCAATGCTATTCAGTGGTGCATGCCCTTAGACGTATCTGCCAGTCCTTTATTTAATATCAACGAACACGTAAAAAATGGACACTCGGCTACCGATGTCAGGATTTTAGCTGATACTCTTATGCGTTTTAAAGCTATTCACGTAGACCCCGCTGAATTTGCTTGCTTGAAAGCAATCGTACTTTTTCGCTCAGGTAAGTTTTTTTTTAACAAAATTAAATCTAAAAGTTTGTATTTTTTAGAAACAAGAGGTTTAAAGGATCCAAGTCAAATCGAAAATTTACAAGATCAAGCGCAAGTGATGTTATGGCAGCACTGTAGAACTCAACTTCCTGGTCAAGTGGCTAGATTTGGAAGATTACTTTTAATGTTACCATTATTGCGAGTAGTTCCCGCGGCTAGAGTAGAAGCAGTATTTTTTCAAAAAACTATAGGAAATACTCCGATGGAAAAAGTTTTGTGCGATATGTATAAAAATTAATGTAATTATTTACGTAAATTTTCATATAGTTCTTGTCACTATCAACGAATCGGTTTAAATAATATCGCTTTGCACCGTTTACACGTTAAGTGGAAATAATTAACGTTTGTTGTTAAGACTCCAAGCGTGGCATTAAATTGATCTAAGTACTACAAGCGGTGCAATTGGCTCGTAAACGAATAATGTACACTCTAATTTAAATAAAACTGTAAATATTGTGTAGCTAAAAGCTCATTTTGGCACTAAATTAAAATATATTAAACCAAGAAAATTTCATTGTTGTCACAAAAACACTTATGAATGTTACGAAAGTATTAACAGATTCTTGCAATTAAACTCTGTATATTTTTCATTATTTTAAACTAGATTATTTTCACACCCTAAGTTAAATTTATCACTGTAGTATTTTTCTAAAAAATGCTGCAGACAACTCAATTGTGACTAATAATAATTATTTACAAAAACTGTTATGGAAATAAATATTCTTGATATTTTATCGTAAAATTTCATTGTTACAATTATCTAAATGTAAAGAAGTCAACAACAATCTTTTTGTCATTAAATACCGGGCTTTCCGACTGTCACATACTTGTTTTCAAATTAAGAAATAACGAATACAAATGTAGACCGAATTATGAAAACCATTAGATGCTCATGCGTTCATGATTGTCGTTCAACCTGGACAACAAAGAAAGACTAAAAGTTGACATAATTATATTCATCTAGTTCTGTAATTGTTATTTAAAATTTATATTTAATATAAAAATAAATAGAATGTGCTAAATTCCAAATAAACCCTCATACTGATATTATTGTATGTGTAATTGATCAATCCTAGACTTCTGATTGTTTCGCAAAAGGTAATAATTTAACTCCGAATATAGTTGGACTAAAATGTAAATTAGAATTGTACGTAACCCCATAACACAGCGTAAAATCTACACATTTCCACGAAAACTGGTTGAAGGTTATTTCGACAGAACTTCCCTCGCCCCTGAAATACAATAAAACATCGAGTTTTTTCGAAAAATTACAAATTTTGACTTTTGCGAATTTTATTTTTGTTTAGGAACCCCTATGAGTTAAAATAATAACGTGTTTATGATATAAGTGTTAAAAGTGAAATTTTATTTGTGAGTATGGAACAAAACAAAATCACTTTTAACATGAATATCGTACAATATTTTTTATAAGTACAAACAAAACAATAAAAACGCTTAATCCTAATTATCACTCCCTATTAATGTTTACAAAGGAAATGAACCTTCGATTTGCTTCCGACGAAGTAGAGGCAGCAGTACCTACGAAATCGTTACACCCGTTTTTTTTTATGAACAATTTTATTTTTAACACCAGTGTTAAAAATAAATTACATTTAACACCAGTGGCATGAAGTGATAATTTTAACGTTTCAAACGTCAAAAAACCTACTTTTAAATTTTGTGATGACGTCATCGACATTTTTTATCAATTTGGATAGGTGCAATGTAATAATAATAACATCATTTGATTCACAAATTTTCGAGAAGATGGAGTCAGCCGTTTCTGATTTAATAAAATGAACTGACTCATTTCGTAGTTTATCTGGAGCCACCCTGTATAAGCAATTTAAAAAAATATGAATGTAATGGCAAATCACAAGTACAAAACAAACACATTTTTGATAGGCAATATTCTGAGATGACGTCTGTGATGACGTCCTCAACTTTTTGGAGGGGATAAACAAATATATTTTTACGATAACTTTAAAATATCTGAAATATTTCAAAGCATTCGGTTTTGCAGTTTCTAATTTGATTAATAAAATGAATTAACTTAATTAATTTTTTTGAGTCATCCGTATAATATGTAGTAACTGTAAAAAAAATATGAATAAAATGGTACAACACAAGTAAGGACCCATCATATTCTGCATATTTTAGATAGGATTTATTTGCCAAAATTTTGAAATGACACCATTAGTTTTTAGGGGAATCGTAAACGCATAAATTTTGATTAACGATTTACCATATTTCCAATAACCTCAAAACGTTTGCGAGATTTCAGGACATTCGGTTTTGGAAATTCAAAGTTAAATTGCAAATTTAATGTTTTTACAACAATCTGTATGTCTAGGGGAAACACTCAAAACGGATTCATAAACTACAAGTGGAGGAGTATGTTATTTTATAAAATTTAAATAACATTTCCTTAATAATAATGAAAAAATTTTTGACACTGATTTTAACAATAGTGTTTACAAATTTATCAGGTATAAATTCAAAAATAGCTCTGTAAAACCCCAGTCTCTCTTCTGCCTGAAGACGGTATTGTGTACCGAAACACGTGCAGCAGTGACTACGAATATATTATTTAAATTCTGAAAGTTTTTTCATTATTATTAAGATTAATATGGAGTTTAAACACGTATCAGCCTCATCAATACAAACATAACATTTCCTATTGTAAACGTTGGAGATGATGTCATATCATCGTTGGTGGGGATGATCAGACAAGCTTTAACAAAATTTGACAACATTTGGTCTGGTAGAAGATTGTCTGCCTAATAAAAATCGACACAGACACGGACAAAAGCAGTCGGAAGACAACAGACGGAAACGAGAGCTACACTAGATTACAATACTTCTTTAGCTTAAGCTCGGGAAGCAAAAAGTTCTCAGAATTCATCCCAACTCACCGACAATGAAAAGTCTGAGCTGTCTACGAATCTTGAATCTACAAACGCCTGAATGTGGAAAATATACAGAATATACCTAATCGTATACTAAAGTAACCTATAAGATACACTAACCGCAACCGGCAAAAAAAAACGGTTACCTTGAAATATTTGGCGTAACCAATTTAAAAATTATTAATTTAACTAGTGTTTATTATTTTATTAAAGAACCATTCACTGTTGACACTGGATATAGTAGCTTTTGACGTTGCTGGCCGGCCACGAATACGCCTCTGGAATCAATGCCACAGATGTTCAATAGGATTAAGATCGGGACTGCAGGCTGGTAAATCACTTATTCGAGAATTAATCTCATTCAAGAATTTAAGGTTACTATGTTTAATGCTCCAATTGTAATTGTAACAATATCCAAGATAGTGATGAAAATGTATTTTGGGTTGCGTTTCAAAGTTATTCAGCTTCTTTATTCCTTGTGGACCAACCTGAATTTACAATAACAACCACTTTATATTTTTGATTAAGGAAATATCGTATTTGCACTGGTTTTGTTACTTTCTTAAATTAAATTTAATTCTGTATTTAGGTCTAGCTAGAACCATTGTTCTTTAATAAAATAACAATCACTACCTAGTTAAATTAATAATTTTTTAAAGTGGTTTTGCGAAACATCTCTTAAACGCTGGATTTTTTTTGCCGGTCAGTGTGCATAAAAGTGATTTTTTTGTATACTGACCGGCAAAAAAATTCAGCTACCCTAAGTTATTTCGCAAAACTATTTTTAAAGAAGAAAAGTAATGGGGAGAATATTGATCCACCACTGCAAGGTCAGTTGTGTATAATTGGTTGCATATATGTATTTATTTGAAGAAATTTATACAGTAGCGTAAACTGCAAATACAGCTTAGAGTGCGATGATATGCTTGTACCGCTAGTGGCCACTGGATGTCGCCTGAATTTTAGTCATCCATCGCCAACTTAATCTACTTCCGCTCCGCACGGCCTTCACAAATCGATTCTGCTAACCTAAAAAATTAGGAGCTTAGGTACATGGAGGAATTCTCAGTTTAGGTACCTATATTGTCTTTTTCCTGAATGTATTTTACACTATCCGTTTAACATTCTTTGAGATTATGTGAATCATCACATCGTAGACAAGAAATATGTTATTCTTGCAAATTCTCAATGCACTACAATTATAACAAAAATACTGTGGCGAGTGGTGACCGAATTTGAATCAAAAGTTCCCGCTGAAAAAAATGAACAGCGGCGCGAAATCACATTTGAATAACTTGAATTTGAAAACAAAATTCAATCAAAGAAATCGTTAAACATAGGCACCCATGTGCACGTTAGCGCTTTTTGGGTAGCTGGCCGTTCTGCTAGGGAATTTTAGTTAGAGGGTTGATTGGTGGAAAAGATAGCCGCTTTGTAGAGGGAGGTGAAATGCGTCATTCTTGCATTGTTGTTGTGAGTTTGGTAGTTAATAAAAGGGAGGAAGTCTTTGTTTAACGACAATTAATCGTAACAACGACGATGTCACAGTTTCCCCAACACGTGTAGCTAATTCTTGCGGCTTTCGAAGCGGAAGTGAATTTTGACAGACGCTAACACGTATAAATTTGATTCATTGTTTGTAAATTCACAGTTCAGGTTAGGAGTTTAATCGTCAACTAGTTCTAACACAATTTAACAGACATTAGATTTATTTAGATAGATCACATCATCGAGACGCATTTTCCTCGTAACATGAATAATTACATCACTTTTTTCTCGTTGAAGATGGCGAACAAACAAGACGCTCCAACTAAAGCTCCGTGTTTAAAATGTAAATTTCTAACAGACAGTGGCTTAACATGTATAAATTGTGGCTCTATGTGTCATCCCAGCTGTTCCCAATATCTACGACATTTCGAGGTACTTGGTGCAACAACAATGAAGTGCTGCAAAAAAGTGAGTGTAACACTCCAAATTTCGTCTTAATCCCGGATAATTCGGATCTATCTCAATATGGATCACTAACAGAAATCATCAGAGATGTAGTTACTGCAGCAGTAGCTCCGCTTGTTGATGAAATTTCTCATTTACGAGAGGAAATCCTTGGATTGAAACGATCAATCAGTAATAATCAGCGAGATACGCTAAGTGTACAAAACCTACAACTACAAAAAGCACCAAGCAACTGAAAGAGAAAGTGCATGATAAGAATAATATCAATAATCAAAAATCACAAAAAATATCCTGGACTAATGAACCCATCTTGACCTCTCTGGAAAAAGACCAACTAAATCTAATGAATACAATCATAGATCTTTACAGAAAAGCGACCACAGGAATAAATAAGGATGTAAACACTACTACCCCTACTACACCAAATAATGATATCGATTTTGTCGAAGTACGCTATAAACACAAAAAGAAAAGTCGCCCTCTTGTTATTGGAAACAATAATACCAGTACTACCTCGACGCTGAAAGCTGCAGAAAAGAAAATGCTTTTGTTTGCCACCCGTTTTGACCTTGACACTACCGATGAGGACATAAAGAAGCACATTGGGACAGTTTGCAACTCGAAAGTGGAAAAGCTCTCCCTCAAAAACAAAGATAGAATAGCATCTTTCAAAATTACGATCCCACTTCAGGACAAAGACA